AATGGTATTTTTGTAAATAAACACTCCTAAATGATATTATTGCAAATGTGCATTCTTACCAAAAAAAAAAAAGTGACATTTTTGTAATTACCCATAAATTCATTCTGAAGCTATCTGATAAGGAATTTTACCAAGTGTCCCATGCATGCAAAATGTTTAGTGAAATAAATTCCAGAACGGTGACGAATTTACAATACTGACCTTAGAACCAATACTTTGATGCATGTTGATTGTATACAACCATTGGAATTAAAAGTATTCAATCATATAAAAACCAATATGTTGTTACCTGATCGTCGGCTGCAACGGGTTCGAAAGCGTCGTCGCTTGGTCCAGGAGCTTCCGGGGGCGGTGCAGGCGGGCTCATAAGCTCCGGTGCTGGAGCCGGCGACCTCTTATGCTTCTTAGACTTCTTGTGCTTGCTCGGAACTGGAGCCGGGACGTCGACTGACGGCGCAACCACCGGAGCAGGCGAAATATCAGTTTCCTGTGAAGGGGACGGCGTAGCATCAATCTCCGGTGAAGGAGCCGCCGGAGAGATCTGAGGAGTAGGAGACGTCATTGGCACATGAACGGAGGATTTGGGAGCCTCGATTGACGGGGATGGTACCGGAGTATTCACCGGAGCCGACGTGGGAGTGGATTCCGGCGACGGAGAAGCTGGAGAAATGGCGGGAGTGGAGGATTTAGGCTTGTGAGGAGATGTAGGAGGAGAGTTGATCGGAGAACTGGCCGGAGATTGGCCACCGACGTAGCCGGAGAAGACAGTACAGATGAGTGTAACCGTAAGGAGAACTTTGAGATCCATAATATTGAAATTAGTTGAGAGAAAAAAGGAATTAGAAAAGAGTGACTGTGAGTGAGTGAAGAATGAAGATAACTAAACTAACTTGTGTGCACGTTATTTTTATATAGGTGAAGAATTGAGAGATCTGGACCGTTGATTGGAATAGAAGGGACCCACGGTGGTTATTAGCCGTTGGAACATAGTATAAAAATTCTTTATGGTGGACCTTAATGGAGACAAATTTATACACCGCGTGTGATATGGGGCCAGGCCCAGTCTAGCAATGGGCCCAAGTTGTTTCTGTTGCTTCACTTACTTTCTTTTTTTTTAACAGTAAAACCGAAGTATGAAATGTTAGAGTATAATCAATTGTTAATAATGGGTTTCTAAAAAGTTAAAAACAATTAAATAATATATAAAACACTTAAAAACCCTAATAAAAAGTCATAATTTAAGAGATTTAGAACTCCAAAATATGGAGTTCTAATAGACACAATACAATTTATAATAAAAAAATAATTTAACACCCCAACTTAACAATTACCATTGATTATGCTTTTAGTGAGTCTCTCTCTCTTGGTTGTATGGAATTTAAAATTAACAAGATTACTAGATTTTGACCCACACAAAACATAGAATTAAATACTTACATATGTTTTCTAATTAATCTTAATATTTAAACGTGTATTCTAAATATTTATAAACATACAAAATAATATGTATTGTGCATAAATGTAATAAAGTAAAATTTTGATCAAACATATTTTGATGTCATATGTTTTGATCAATTTTGCATAAAAATATTAAAACTAATGCAAATGAAATTTATTTCAATTTATTTGAAYTGTAAAATTGACTTTTTTATTATTTGTGTAAATTATAGAATATGCAATAAATCAAATAAATTTTAGATTTATATGAATTTGTTGGACATAACAAATGGAAAATATATTTTTTATAGTAATAAAATTTAAAAATATTTGAGCATAGTTATCATCTACAAATAAATAATATTATTACAAATATAATAACGAAAAAGCTTCTTAATATATCAATTTCTTAAAAATAATATATGGTATGGTAAGTCTAAATATTACATTTTGTTAAACTTAAATCTGTAAAACATGTATTAATAGGTTTATGTTATAAAATTAATAAAAATATGTAGAGATTGAAATATTTTCATTGGTTAATTTAAATGACATGTTCCTTAAAACCTTCATTGAATAACACATATGATTTTTCACCAAATGTCTACGTAATTAATATATAGAGGATTAATGGCATTTTTGAAAAAATATGGCATTTTTGAAAAGTGACATCTCAAAAGTAGAATTTTTCAAAAAATCTCTACATTTAATCTAATTGTCATGCAAATTAATTTTTGTAAG